CATTACATATGAAAGGCCGTGGCGGACGCCCGTGCGCCGCCGACGGCTTGGTGCCGCCTTTCGGCCAAAATGACTTTTTATCCGACAACTACCGAATCACTTAACATGATTCCTATACTGAAACAATTTAAGGGCTAATCACACGAACAAACATGCTTAGAATTGAAGGCGACAGCCCTCGGCCCGAAGCCACCCGAGGCCGCACGCGATAGGCGCGGGCGTCGGCTGGGGCCAATACATCAGCAAAACTTCACTTTGTTTCGACAAAACTGATCATAATGAACATGAAATTATCTAAGCTGAATATATAGACATCAACAGGTCGAGAGTTGTCGGGAGAAATCAAAGATTGTGCGGTGATAATCTTCCTCAACTACATACGGCCTTTACAGGATTTTATTCAAAATTCTCGAAAGTAATCCGAACGTTTAACTCTGAAATCTACTTATTAACATTATTCTAATAGGAGGAAGGAATTACCTCTCCAATTGCACGACCGAAATCAGAAATCAAACGGCTTCTTCCTCGCGTGCACCGTGCGTATGGCCTCACCTCAATTGCCGTGCGATTGAATTTGAAGTTGGGAGAATTTGCTTGCTGAAAAATGATGGTTTAGAGCTGATGGTTTAAGGGAAGATATGCTGCGAAGTACTTAGGAAAAATGAGGGAAAATTTTCGGTTAAGTGCTCCATTTTATACTTGGACGATGGGGAAGAAAGGGTGATGTAGGCTTGGCGTGTCTCTCTCCCAAGCTCGCCACTTGCTAGCTTAATAGGGAAAATAAGATGACTAATCCCCTTACTTTCATTCTCCTCTTTACACGTATGTAGCTTAATGGCAAAGAAAAATATTTGATTTCCTTAAGTTGAAGAAATCTCATGGCTTAACAAAAGGCTACGGCTTTTGGTATCAATTTGGAGAAATTCTCCCTATGTGCACGGCTTAAGAGACTCATTTAGGGTTAATCACTAATTAACCCTAACCTTGATGTTTAATTATTAATTAAACATAGTACTTAATTACCAAAATTTATTCCGAACGTAAACGGTACGTCGAAAATCAATTTCGGTAATTCCGACTGAACTTAATTAATTCCGAAAATAATAAACGATAACATTATTATATCGGAATTAAACGTAATTTATACCGATTAAATATCGGGATATTACAACCCGTCCCAGACAATATCCAGAATGCCCAACCTGTGGGAAACACCACCGTAGAGAATGCCTTGTGGGCCAGAATGTTTGTTTCTTTTGCTGCCAGCCAGGTCAATTCAGCACCAACTGTCCAGAACGACTGCAAAAAAAACCGCAACAACGTCAACCACCACAGCAACCTCAACAACAGCAACCCAGGCAGCAACCACCACGACCACAGCAACAGCAACGCAGCAGACAGCAGGCCCGCGTCTTTGCAGTTGACCAGAGGGAGGCCGACCAGCACCCAGGTACCATGTCCAGGATGATTATTCTTAATAATGTGCCTGTTTATGCCTTATTTGATACCGGAGCGACCCATTCTTTTATATCACGTCGATGTCTCGAAGCTATTGGGGTTCGTTCCACTACCGCTGTCGATCCTCTCGAGGTGAGTTTAGCCTCGGGAAGAAAGATAGTGACTGACGCTAGAGCCACCGATCTCAGCCTTTCCATCGGCGGCCGTATTCTGAGTACTGATACTTATGTTATCGAGATGAGGGATTTTGACCTCATACTCGGTATGGATTGGCTAACTCGTTTTTACGCAGATATTCGATGTTTCGACCGGTAGATTACTCTTTATCTTCCGGGAGATGATCAGATCACTTATTACGGCTGCAGGACTCATACTCTGCCACATGTTATTTCTATGGCAAAAGCCAGAAAGATTCTTCGACGGGGTGATTGCCAGGGTTATCTTGTGAGTCTCGTTGGAGATGAGCCAAAGGCACGTTCACCTCATGACATTCCTATCGTTCGTGAGTTTGTGGACGTGTTTCCAGACCAGCTTCCCGGAGGTCCACCTAGCCGACAGGTGGAATTTTCTATTGATCTTATCCCTGGAGCCGGACCCGTTTCAAAGGCACCGTACAGAATGGCGCCTAAAGAATTGCAGGAATTAAAGACCAAAATTCAAGAGTTGCTGAATCTCAGTTTTATACGACCGCGCGTTTCTCCTTGGGGAGCACCAGTCCTTTTTGTCAAGAAGAAGGACGGATCCATGCGTATGTGTATCGACTACCGGGATCTTAACCGGTTGACGATCAAGAATAAATCAATAAATATCCGCTTCCCAGGATTGATGATTTATTTGATCAGCTGAGGGGTGCCTGCGTGTTTTCCAAGACTGATTTGCGTTCAGGCTACCATCAGCTGAAAATCAAGGAGTCAGACATACCCAAGACAGCTTTTCGTACGAGATACGGTCACTTCGAGTTTGTGGTTATGCCGTTTGGCCTCAGTAATGCCCCGACAGTATTCATGGACTTGATGAACCGTGTATTTCATCCTTTTCTCGACCAGTTCGTTATTGTCTTCATCGATGATATTCTTATTTATTCCAAGAGTCAGAAGGAGCACGAGGAGCACCTGAGGGTCGTTCTTTCGACCCTTAGACGCGAGAAGTTATATGCAAAGTTCTCCAAGTGCGAATTTTGGCTACAACGAGTGGCTTTTCTTGGTCACATTATTACTTCAGCAGGTATTGAAGTTGATCCTTCCAAAATTGCCGCAGCCCAGAATTGGTCAGCACCGAAGAATCCGTCCGAGGTTCGTAGTTTCCTCGGCCTTGCAGTTATTATCGCAGATTTATTGAGGGGTTCTCGAAGATTGTCCTCCCTTTATCTCAGCTGACGAGGAAGTCTGTAAAGTTTGAATGGACAGACCGTTGTGAGTCGAGTTTTCAGGAGCTAAAAAGGAGGCTTACGACGGCACCAGTATTGACTATTCCAGATCCTTCTCGGAGCTTCACCATCTATAGTGATTCTTCGAGGCAGGGTTTGGGATGTGTACTTATGCAAGATGGCCAGGTCGTTGCTTATGCGTCACGCCAGCTTAAAACCCATGAACAGATCTATCCGACGCACGACTTGGAATTAGCTGCAGTTGTTCATGCCCTTAAGATTTGGCGACAATATCTATACGGCGGTCAATGCGAAATCTTTACTGATCATAAGAGCTTACAGTATATCTTTACTAAGAAGGAGCTCAACATGAGACAACGCCGTTGGTTAGAGCTCGTCAAGGATTACGATTGTACGATCCAGTACCATCCGGGAAAGGCGAATGTTGTTGCTGATGCCCTAAGCCGCAAGGTGAAGCGTGACTTGACGTATGTGGTTACTCAGCAGAGTCAGTTGATACGAGAGTTTGCCCGGATACGGATTCAGGTGATTGATGCACTTCCTACCGCCAGTACGGGGAGTGTGAGTTCCATGCAGGTTCAGTCGACGATGAGGGAAGAATCCGGCAAGACCAGGCTTCAGATGAGTTTATTCGTACGATTGATGCCAAGGTTCGTGCCGGAGGCATCGAGGGTTTTTACCGAGGCACTGATGGGGCCTTGGAGTTTTGTGGCAGGATTGTGGTGCCAAAAGTCGAAGCATTGAGGAAGGAGATTTTATCTGAGGCTCATACCGCACCCTATCTAGCCCAACCAGGAAGTACAAAGATGTATCATGACCTGAAAGGGTCGTTTTGGTGGAGAGGATTGAAGAAAGACGTGGCCGACTT